AAGTCGAATAAGTTGAATGAAAATACTATGCAGCGGCAGTTTTGAATATTATCTATTCTTTTTTTCGATTCTRTGATATGCATGATTTGATTGCACTTACTTGAACTTCTCTGTATCAGTCAGTGTTACCACTTTTTCTCTATATGWTTCATTCTGCATTCTTGTCTTGCCTCGTCGGTCAATGACTGGCACCATTCGACTCTTTGGCTCATTATGCCAACATACTGCGCTGAAGTGAATCTCTGGCGAGGTGGCTTGAAGTCTCTCAATGAACTGGACGATGGTCTGTTGACGAAGAACTTTACWGAGGAGCTTCCTGCTTGACGCATAGTAACATTCCGTCATGTAACAAGCATAGAGCAGAAAGAACAATACAACTGGGAGTGCCACAAGTTTYTGTGGCGGCAACACGCCATTGTAGACYGTATCATCAGCAGCACACCAGCAAATCAACAGGAATGACACGACTACGGCGACGTTCAAGATTACAGAACATACCGGGCATTCCACCATCCAATCCTCACACATGGTTGTAGTAGGTCGACAGTTAAATCCCTGGAAAATCACTTCTGTGTCGATTAGTGGATTATAGGAAGAGAGAACAGAAGTCTTTAATCCGCTTGCCTTGAGTAATCCAATATTTACCAAGTGAAGAGCCTCTACTCAAAACACATCCAACATTATTCAGATTCTAAGTTTTCACTGGTCAAATGTCAGTCGAAATRTTATACGAGCCTGTTGTTTTTGAATATCTTAGCTGGGTATCTGATCTTTGTCTGGCTRGCGTTCAGACTTATGATCATTTGCATAAACAAAATTTCTCTGCGGTTTTGAATAAAGTTATTGAAATTTGTTTGCAGACTATCTGGCAGCTTTATTAAGTATTCGCTTTATGTATGTAAAGTTTGAAAGGTCTCTTCYTTGATCCGAGAGTTTTTCCTAGGTTCGATCTCCGGTTTTCCTCCCTTCCCACAAATCCGTTAGACACTAAATTCAAATTCGATCTGAGCTAACCTAGCTGTGTCCTGACCTCAGCCCAAAGGTTGTTCCAGGGTACCGATAAAATGTGCATGTTAAGATTATTGAAGATTAGTTTGTCATTGATATATRCTCGACATAACCAGGGTAAAAAACTAAAAGAGATATACCATARTAACTTGGGTGTGGCTGTCTTCTTTGACGAATTTACGAGAAAATRAAATAAACACAACGGAAACGCACACGATTTTTTATTGAATTAACTATACTATTAAAACGATGTAGCATCTTTAGGGAATGCTTTGTCGTGCAATGACCTTTTTCTAATGGATATATTGGCACACGTAATCATGTACGTGTTTCTATAAAGTCTAAGTTTACTTTTTTATGACATGCATTTGAAAACAGTTAATTAAGTAGTATAAAACAAAATACACCCAATTCATTGTTCCAATTCACTGTACCACTTGCCATTCCTTTTAGAATAATATTCTTTATTTGAGATTCATACACGATAAACTGTTTAGTCATTCATGCTATTAATAAAAAAAGAAAGAAATAATTCTCGTAGAAATGACACGTGATTTCAATGGGAAAACCGTGGATTAGTTAATCAAGATTTTGCTGAACAACAACAAAACTGTCTATTGAAATAATGTAATACTTGAAACTAAGCTACTGTGTTAATAGTAATAGTCCATGGCAGAATGGACGTACTTAAAACTTGAACACTTGTGGTGGATATTTTCTACAGGGGCTAATATCCTGTGATTTTCATCCCCTTGGGGCTACAATTCCTTGTATCCATCGTTCCCCGGGTAACGGCAATACTACGACGATCGTGATAGCGATACATTTTTCTACCCTTAACGTACCACAACGCTAGTGGCCCTAATACCTTGTAGTCCCTCATTAATAAATTCCATGTAAACAATTACGAAGGCACTACTTCCCTAGAAAACCATGGTGATGCCAAGACCCTCGCGGCACTAATACCCTGGGGCCCCTCATGAACGGTTACGATATTACCACGAATTCACTATAATTCCGGCCTAGAATACTATGGTGATGCCAAGACCCTGCATGGCGGCACTAACACCTTGGGCCCCTCATCTAACGGTTACCACTATTACTGCGAAGGCACTAATTAATAACGGCTACGTTAGCGACAGAACTTATAAGCATAAAAGAAGAACGGAACGTTTTGATCCTAATGCTAATGCTTATGTTATGATTATGTCACTAGTGAGGACCAAACTTTAAGTGCTAGTACGTGGTGTGAGTGAACTAACATTACCACTATCATGGTAAGGAATTACTGTCTAACAACTGTAATTTACCAAAGTTTCAGTTTCGCATTTTTGCATTATGAGATCAGTTGCCATTGAAATGGCATTCAGTTGATTCCTTTGGCAGCGAGCTCGTCTTTAACCCTCTTTAGGTAAGTTGGATCTGGGTAACCAAATCTGAAATGCAAAACAGCTAGTTAATTAGTCAATAATAACTTACTGGTTTACAAGTAATTGTGCTTTTCCCAAAAAGTTTCAAATTTCAAAGTTAATTAGTTAGTTAAAATAAGCTAGCTAACAATGGAGAGTAAGAGAGAAAAGATTAGAAGGGAAAGCGGAAGGGAGAAGCAACGGACAAAAAAACAACAAAAAAACAATAATAATCATAATAAAAAAATCATGCTAAATTAACAAAACGACAACACAAGAGCGGCTTCAGTGGGAATAGGCCTACCATATAAAATTGTTTATATGAATTTCCTTTCTCCAGAATTTCTATGAACTCATGGTACATAAATTCAGTACTTGGATCCCCTCTTTGAAATATTACTGATATTTGAGAAGTTTTATTCATATTTACCCAGCTGCTCCTCCATAAGGGTTAGTCTTGTGGTGTATATCGTTCCATGTCACGACATTAGAAGCACCAGTAGTCACAGACCTTCCGATGGTAAAAGTCAGCCTTGCATTGAACGCTTTCTTGAGCAAATCTAACACTTTTCTTCCCTCTGGGCAGTCGGGTAAATATGCTGTTCTTGAAGTTCCACTGTAATATTGTCCTGGGTTTGGGTGTTCAGGACCTTGTTTTCCACTTGGGAAATGGTAGTCTATCCTTATGGTACCGTATCTTTCATATCCCGGAAGTCTTAAGTAAGGTTCCAGAGAGTGGTGCATGGTACCTTGTGGCATGTTTCCTGTGTGTACTCCATAGGCCATTCCACAGGTAGGACAAGCCTTGCGGTGCTGGAAAGCTAGATCAATACACTTCTTACAGAATTTATGTTTGCACTTCTGCAGAACTGTAGGATCATGGAATCCATCTAAACAGATCGGGCATACATCTTCTTCGTCGTCTTTTTTTGCTGTTCTTTTGTCTAAGAAATTAAAATAAATCAATACATTTAAATTTTAGAACAATTATGTAATGAAAATAAGGGTGCAATCTAAAACTGTGTAGAAAGGATAAAATGCAAATAATTTGAAATATGCCATTAAACAAAACTTTGTGTTCGTAGTGATAATGGGATTTCTAGTGATAGTGGTAAAGTGGAGGTCGGTGGAGCCGCTACGAGTAGGAATCGTTAAAGTAGAAGAATAAACACTGAGATAAGTTAGTAGTGCAGGGACCGCGGAGCATATTGAAAAGTGGGGGGGGGGGAGAAGTGGTGTTGTGGTAGTACCGGGTAGTAGTCGACATAGTCGTGGTAGTGGAAGGTAGGGGATTTGAGTGAAAATTATTCAAATTAAACGACAGATTTTGCGATTTTCGGTTCTGTACAGTTCAGTAAAGTTCACACAAAAAATACTTGTTGACAAACATCTACATATAGTCAACGTGAGTAATATTTTTGATATCATTTTCAAAAATAAGCTACCTAATACCTAGTATAAACATATTATAAAAATAAAGAAAAATATGTTATTATCAAATTATATTTTTGGGAATATTAATGTTATCTCGAAAAGCATTGCATTACGATTGGTTCATGGGTGTTCATTTCTCCTTTCGAAAATCCAAATTCAGAATTACCGTTAGTTATTTCGCTGAAATTTATAGAAAATGATAAATTACGAGAAGAGTGTACCCAGGAAAAGCATTAATAAAAGCAATAATATATTTACCAGAAGAAGAACCAGTGCTCTTTTCAGTAGGAAGAGTTAAAGTTGAGTGTTTGCTTCGTTTCATGATGCCTCTTCTTCCAGAAGGTGTCACAATGGAATCCTTATATCTTCTTGAGAGCTCCACTTTAAATGCCTCTACTGCAGCAGGATCCAAGTGGACAAATCGGATGTCAGTAATGGCGCCTTTGTTTGGGTCATTATCTTTCATATATTCCTCGACTGCACTGATCATTGCTGACGCACAGACGTTAAGGGGCATTTCTTGTTGTCCTGATCCCACAGCCGGAAAAGCAATTGATTTATATTTCCTAGCACCGTAAGCGATTTTCAGGCATTTAAGACATGCCTCCTTGACGAGCCTTCTGCATTCTTGCCCATCTTCCCTTTTAGTATCTTCGTATTTATGCGTTAATATGTGCATAATGCATGAACAACTCAGCTTTCCTGGCTTTGTTATCACAAACTCTCCCGGTTTGAGACTTCTTTTTTTAGACTTAGCTTCTTCTTGTATATTATAACCCCCATGCTTCACTATTGCTGCTGGTAATCCAATGTTGAAGCTAAGATGTTTATCAGTGGAGTTAACAATGATGTCGACTTGCTCTTTTGTAATGTCTCCCTGGTAAACCGTCAACCGGAATCCCTTCTTTGTTTCGATCACAAAAGGCTGTTCTTTGTCAACCGGAACGTCTTCATGAATAGGGCTTCTCATGTCATCGGGATTTTTCAGCTGTAAATCTTTCTCTACTTCATAATTTCCCAAGGGCATGTGGCTATTAACAGCACCAGTAATCTCCTCCTTGTCTGGAACAGAACGTACGTTTGCTTTGCGAAGTTTTCGAAGGGGATTATCCATTTTTAACGTCTTGCAGACTTCTGCAATTGCAGACCTTACATTAGTGTCTTCACCGTAAAACAGCCATTTATCTGGATCGTCCATCTTCTGGATGACGATTGGTTTCATTTGCAACACCTTTTTCACGGCATCGTCTGCAGAGTAGGATGATCCGTTCCCTGATCTGAGAAGGATATCTTTAGACATCATGTGTCCGTCACAAATCTCTCTGTATAGTTTTATGTACTCCTCACAAGCATCATCATGTTGCGTTGGTGTGCATCCTGGCAATGGGCTGATTACCACATTTAATCCACCATCAACTGCACCAATTTTGACATTGAATTCTGACTCAATGAATTGGATTCTCTTTTTATACTTTGGGACAGTAAAGATAAATTCCAAGATGATAGGAACAGATTGGAAAGCCATATAATCTATCTTTTCATCATCACTTGTTCCTGTAGATGTTAAAGTGGCACCCCTTTCATGAGGTAACGCAGCTTCTATAGGCATGCTATTATGAGCAGATCCTGGTGGCATCTGTTGTGTACCTTTGCAATTACGAATCTCATTAAGGATATATTTATGGCAATATATAATCTGCTCGTATGATCCACTGATTGTAAATCCATAGCTATTCTTGTAACATTTAATTCCATAGTCACGTTGTAGGGAGCGGAGTACTTGTTTTAATGAGGAAACGGAGCCATAAAAGACATCAATATTCAATCTTGCCTCTACACTTGCAAAGATCTGCGAAAATAATTTTTTTTTTATATCATGATATAATAGGGACACTTTAAGTTAACGCGCATCCATATTCCTCCAAAACTAAAACTGCTACGCTCTGGTTACAGAAAACGGTGAGCATTAGATTCGTTAAACAAATTGGGAAAGGCAGCTAGCGAAGCTAAACAAAACCTGAGGCTCTCTAATTATGACATTCCTGGTCACTCATATAAATGGATATAATTAAGGAATTTAAATTGCATAAAAAAGGTTATTGACCCAAATCCAAACAAATTTCTTATCATTCTTCTTCTCTATGAAGGGCATTTATGCGCAAAAGGTCTCATTGTCATATTCTTTTAAATATTTTGCATTCATGATAAAAGTACATCATACTACGAGTAAAATGAGCACACACACACACACAAAAGGCAGGTTGTTTAGCAATATTAGAAATATGGTATATGGAATTGTAGCTTTCAAGTTATGGTAAAATTATTTTCTAATCATGCCCGAACAAATTATGTGATTTTGATTTTATCCCATCTTCATTTTTTTATCTAAAGTTCATAGGCCATTATAACAAAATGCTTACTGCAACCTTAATCACAAGAGAAAATTTGAGTTCTGGTGGACGTCAATCAAAAGGGTTTTCTTGAACATGTCTAAGGATTCCAACTAGTTTCAACCGCTTGACTGCAAAGCTATCGGTATTGACTTATCTGATCTTCAAGAAACTCAAATCATAGTCAATACCGATAGCTTTGCAGTCAAGCAAAGTCAAGATACCCTTTCGATTGACGTCCGCCCAAACTCAATTTTTTGTTTGTGATGAAGGTCTAGTTGGTCGCGGGTCACTGGGAATCGAAGTAAAAATATCGAAATAAAAAAGGGGGCATCATCTTTGTTTTACAGTTAATAGTTTGATGAAGTTCAAAACCTGTTTTCTTGATATTTTGCTAAGTAAAACATTTGACTGATCTCATCGCAATGAGCACATGCCGCGCATAAAAGTATGCGCAGAAAGGATGCGCGCTAAGCGCAAGCCATAGCCATGAACATACTTACATTTAAACATAATTTCAAGAAACGAATAAACGCAAGAATTGCTGGTCGTTTCGATGACATCCTGTCATCATTTTCAACAACATTTAATGACAGATCAAGCGTGAATTACTGAAGGACAAAGTAAATATATGTACATATTCAAACACAAAGTTTTGCTTTCACTGAGTCTGATTAGGCGTTCAGGGTTGGCCTTAATTCCCTGAAAATAACATAATAGCTAAGCAACTTTGTTTTAATCATCACGTCCTAATGGAACTTTTGATGTCCTTAACGTAAAAGAGTATTAGTAGATAATTTTGTTACCTCGGGTATCTTTGTTTCAACAGGGTATCGGTTTACGGTGACTTCTTTTCCCTTTATGATATGTTGAGTCTCAATGACGCTTTCCACAACTATATTAAGAAAGTCAAAAAAAATTAATGCATGCTATCGGTTTTGCTTGCGCTAACTACGACTTTCGCAAAGTCCTTTGTCTCAAGATCACGCGCACTGGATAAAACGCAGTCAACCAAACCAGGATAACACGCGCTGTTTGAAGGACTTTCCCTACCTGTTTCCGGCCAATTTTATTGACCAAATAAAACTGCCGCAAGGCAAACTCGTGACCAAATAAAACTGCCGCATGGCAAACTCGCGGATAACCTCCTCTTAATCCTACTTACGCTCTTGAGAAATTGGGTTCCCTGTGTTCCTCCCGCTGACAAAAGCGTTGCGTTATGTATATTAAATAACTTATATTTTGACCTTTTCATCATGTCTCTGAGTTTCCACATGCACTCACAAACTATTTACTTACACTGTGCAATAAGCGGATATTCTATAAAAATTCGTTTAGAAATAATATTCAACTTGTCTTTATTAAAGTGTGTACGATAAGACTGACAGATTTCGTTGTTGTTCTCTGATTTTTCTACGTAAATCCGAAGAATTATCTTGAATGCCGTAAAATAATTATTTTTAGTTCGCTATCGTTATGAAATTTAAACAAACCTTTTTATGATTCTTATGTTCATTTATGGTATTTTTCTCTAGTTTTGGAGGAAGTTTTGTTTCATTTTAACATGCATCGATCTTTCCTTGATTCTCCGAAATAATCCGAGGGAAAAGCTATGTGCGAGTGTTAGCATGCTCAGTGCTAGCCTGCCCTAGAGCTAGACACCATCCGGATCAATCTCGTGCCCAGAGCCTGCGTTTCTTCTGGCCTGCGGCGAAGAACGAGGGCTCTGGCATAATCCATTTTTTGAGACCAGGATTTCTTGGACTTCCGGTATAAGAGCGCATACGTTAAAAGACTTACCAAAAATTAAAAAAAAGTTGTTCCCGATTTCTAATTTTTATTTTGATCGGAAGCAAACACAGAAATCTGTTTGAAAGCATGATTTTCATTGATTATATTTCACTTCCGGAAAACTGCGCATGCGCAAAAAATCGATTACGCTAGAGCCCTCGTTCTTCGCCGCAGGCCAGAAGAAACGCAGGCTCTGGGTACGAGATCGCATCCGGATCCACATCGAAAAATGAAATTCCAACTTTAGATATAAACTAAACTATTGAATTATTTATTTTTTTGCCAAGCCCTATAAACAACGAAACCAAACTGGCGTTAGCTAAACTGATAATTTATTCATGAATATATTTTCATTTACATTCAGGACTTCTAAAACGAAAAGCATAAAAATTTAGCATCGATTTTTGCTTACCAACTTTCATGATGTTGCAGTTTTCTCCTGGAAAAAGTCCGGAAGTCTTCAAAATTTCAAGTTAAATGAAGGACGTCCATTGTAATTTTCACTAAACCTGATATCGTGTTGAATTATCTGTAGTTAACTTTCATTTTTTAAGGTAAAACAACCAAAAAAGCAAAATAATGTCGACCATAGAGAATTTTGTGGAAAGATTTTTCAAGTACAAAACTAGCCCTGTGGGGTGGCTGGTGGTGGGTCGTGTACACGTTACAAAAATCCTGTGCGGGAGAGTAGTAAGGTCGAAATTCGTTCTCGCCCGAGTCCTACGCAAGTAGTAACTTTGACATAACATGGCAGAAAATTCTCTGCAAGCGAAAAATTTTCTGCACGAAAATTTCACTCATAGAAATCTTGTAGGAAGAAACAAAAAAGAGTTTTACATAAATGAATCCCCCATCGTAGGGATCATTTTGATCAAGTTTTTTGTGGAGTTCGAGGTTTAAATGACGATGAAATCGTGGTTTAAAATTAGTTGTTTGTTCAAATATGGCGACTGAAGTTTCCTCTCTTGTCAGAGTACATATGCATAAGATCAACATCAGATACCATAGGGAAATTATATAGGAAAACAAAGGCGCGCGAAAAAAAATGTTCTAGTGCATTTTTTATGGATTTGTTTGCTCTTTCGCATTACAGAAGACATTATCTTGATCTCGAATTAAAAAAAAAAAATTAATTAATTAACTTTTCAGATTTTATTTTAATGATTCACTTTATTCTAAATTGGGCTCCCTGTGCTTTTTCTATTTCTCGCTCATCTCGAAAAAAGATAGATTATGCTAGCACTCTTTATCAACATACAAAAAATTAGCAAATTGCATGAATACAATATTAATAAATACTATCGCATTAATGCCTCTATTAAAAAAAATAATGTCAGATTGAATTTTTTTATGCATCATGAACCTAATGTAGAAAAATGAAATTTAAAAAAGGGATATCTAAAACATGTACAAAGTTTGGCCAAACAATCTCTGAGAAATGGAGGTTCACTATAAATATGTTTTATAAATTAAAAATATGTTCAAATTATATATTCTTTTTGATTGGCTGAGATAAATACAAATAACTGCCTACAAATAATAATCTGTTCATGGCAAATAAAGCCGTTTTGCTGCCAATAATAGTCTACTCATGCACAGTAATGTTGCGTTTGTCAACATGGCTCAATTTCCTACGACTTGGTATGTTTGATAGATGGCAAAAATGAACAAAGCACAAAAAGAAAATGGGAAAATTATTTCAATGAAAAAATAATTATTGAACTCAAGAATCACAAAATATTGTGATTTGTTAGCGCCTCGCAAGCAATTATCTGCCTCTGCCTTCAGCATTGGCAAATAATCCCTCACTCAACACTAAAACAAATAGGCTATTCTATTTAATATGTGCACCCCTCCTACCCCCTCCCCCCTCTTGAGGACCAAAAATCTTTAGGGGGATGTGCTAGAAAATCTTCAGGGGTTGCCTAAATTGTACTTAAATCTCCTGGGGTTCACAAGTTGATAGAATTCTTTAGGAGTTGAGAGCGTTGAAAGCTAGGAGGATCCATCAGGGGTTAATTTTAGTACCACCATTGATCTGGTCATCAACGGGTGGGGGATATTACATGGAATAGCCCACCATACTTTGCTGAGAAAGCTAAGCTTTGGTAGCCTTCGTTCAGCCGGTATAATTTCTCTCGACATATAATTTTTCTCGAAATAACGAGAGAAATTATACCGGCTGAACGCAGGCTAAGCTTTTGTAGCATATGTGCAATTGCAAGATGAACGACTGCAGGAGTTGCATAGTATAGCGCAGCGCACTGATTCTAAAAATAGCTTAAAGATTCGGGCAAACATTGCATTCTGTTTAACCGCTACGAGGATTATACGAACCGATTTTATTATTTGTTACAATAATAACCCATGTAAACTAAGATCAACTGCGATCGGCTGTGAAAATTATCTGCTGAAAGTAAACTTGTAAGTTTGTTTGTCCAAATTTCGCCTTTGTCTTCGTTTTTATGACGTCACGGCTGCGCTGCGCTATTGATTCACTAAGTCTTAAAAGCTTCTCAAACGTGGCTGCCGAGAAAGTTTCACTATGCTAATACGACTAATTTTTATTTCAACTTGCGGTAAGATAATTTGTTGTGTGTCGGACACAAAGCCGTTGCTCACAAGTTCGATAATGTAAAGGTTGACGGGGTAAGTGTATTTAACAATGAACGATATTGAGAAGCAGTGATTTTACGAAGGAGATAAATCTTTTAGAAACTAGCATATTTGCTGTCAAAGACCAATTGTTTCAACGCATCACTAGCAAAGAAAAGAAGTTGTTTACATTTTGAACTGATTTGGTTTCATTTTCGATTCCAAGAACTCGAGGTTATAGATTACAAATAGAATCTGCCTTAAACCTTATGACTTGGTGTACTTTTTGTAGAATTAAAATATCTTAAAAAGCGAGAAAGAACATTTAGATTAAAATTGATCAGACTTCTTACTTGAAGGATCTTCAAATGTTATAACGACAGGCGAACGGTGTTCACTGCCATGATCATCAATATTCACAACTTCGCCTCCGCCATTGCTTCCCTTTTGAAAGTGAATAACAACATCTTTAGGAGAGATATTTTCAGGCACATCCGTGACTAATATACTCCTCTTAGCTTTCTCTTCGTCCAGTTCGACTTCAAAGAAAGATGGGTCGTCCATTTTAACCGTTCAAACAGCCTTCAAAATGTCTTGTTTGTTCGGCCGTTTGCCTCAGACAGAAGCTGTTGGGAAATTTCCCGGAACAGACGGAAGTCAAAACATGAATCGTATGCATATTAATTACTGTCACGCAACACAAAAAATATATAAATAAAACTGTTTTGCACAAATAATTTTAAGTACAAAAATATAGAAGCCAATAAAATACGCTTGAGACTTTTTTCTCAAATAAAAATATACATATAATCTTTTATAAAGCCATAAGAAATATATATATATTTTTTCTGACGTCGTGTTTCCAAGAATCCTATATTTACGAAATAAAGGCTTGGTTTACGTCATTACTCGATTTCAATTCTTGGAATAACGAGTATTTATGGAATTTCCCCGAATAACTACACCTATTTTTTTGCTTGTCAGCGATAAAACTAAGCATTTCAACGTTGGCTTTCCRGGCCTGTGAGAGTATACTGATCAATAGCGCTTAAAAAGTACGCCTTCGAGTCAAAATGGAGAGAAATAGAGTTCTCATTACTGGTCTGCCGAAAGGGAGCAAAATCTCTCGCAAAGACCTAATCATGTATTTCCAAAGCAACAAGAAGTCTGGAGGTGGAGAGGTGATAGATGCTGAATATCTGGATCAAGGAGACGCTATTTTCACTTTTCAGGATGAAGTTGGTGAGTAGCTAGATTATTCTTTGCATTTTTATTTTCTTAAA